ATAATAATTTATATCACCTGTAACGATGTGAGCAAATATTAGTAGGTCATTATACCTACCCGGGACTCAATATTCAGTCAAATATTTAAACAAGGATAAGAATTTCGGAATGCTGGTTACAATTTTCTCAGTAGCAAAGCCCCGTGTTTATAAATAATGTCAACAACGTTGAAGTGGCTAAGCTTATGAATGAGGCGCTGCGGGTCCATAAAACCCATTTTATTAGTTCGTTGCAACCTATCAAAAGCCCACTGCTGAACACGGCTTTCACTATTGATAGCAAGCAGGTCGAGGTGACAACAGAACGTTACTAGTCAGGTTTACTCCTCTCGGGACAAGTAAGTATTTTATTTTATATTATATGTGCCTCTAAAATATTTTTCTCGGGTTTTTTGTTATCGTACAAATGTACATATGTATTATAAACACAGGGTTAGGGTATATTCTAAATAAACCAAAAAAACTCTCAGAACGCAATTCTTATATTTGAAAACAACAACTTTTTTATCGATTTTTTTGAATATATTGCTTTTCCAAATAGTCAATGTTAATCCCTTTCCTTCTGAATCTTGTATTTCTTCACTATACATACATTTCTTGAAATCTTTCTACATAGTAAAATCAAATATAAGTAAATAAATATAAAATTTTTATTATGTTGGTATGGAAAAAAATAATGTTTGAATTTTAAAATGTCTTAGAACAATATTCTTTAAACATAGGATTTAAGGTCCTGATTTTTGAATTTAAGGTTAATCCTGCTATTTGGATTTAAAATTAACCCTGCGTAGTGTGAAAAGACACGTGAAAAACAGTGACACGTCATATCAGTGTCAAAGACTTCGTCAATCTACTTATCTGCACCACACATAGTAACTACGATTCGATAACGTGTATTTGACGTGAAAATTCAGAGTACAATAATGACAGCTTTTGCTCGGGTTTTCCACTGCTAGCAATATAATAATAATGCCGCTCAGATAGAAATTCAGTCATGGTAGCAAATATAAACGGATACCAACCATGTACGCAGAACAGCATTCTAATGCCCGAGTGCTTGCGCAGACACAGGTTAGGCACTTTTATTTCCGCATGGGACGGCAATTTGACATTACCCGAGAGCTATCACAGGTAGCAAAACGGTAGCAAAACAACGCCAACTTTTTGAATGCGGGCTGCTACTTGAAAAATTCTTGACAAAAAAAACTCGTAACTGATTTTTTTTTTGGGTCAAACCCGGGTTCTGAATCCAGGACCTAACGATAAGCAGTCGCGTTTACGACTACTAGACCACAGCTAGTAGCAATGTAAACAATCGAGACCAAGTAAGTAGAGAGTTATACCACTTGCTCTAAAAGTTTTGTTATTTTTTGCAAATTTGTGTGACTACTAAAAAGCAATAATCAATATTCCTCGACCAAAAGCGTACAAACAGTTGGTTTTGAATGTTTCCGTATTTATTCTAAAAAATAATAAAGAAATAAATTAATTAAAAATAATAACATGTCATTTAAACAATACATATACATAATATAAAGAATAAGGTTAGATGGCATAATAGCACAGTATCATAAAAGAAGGAAAAATCTTAAATATTCAATAATTAACTATTAAAATTTTCTTTTTACCTACTTTTCTAACGTTACGAACTATTACTTTTAAAAGTGATAAATTCGAATTAATGTTCAATAAATCCGGACTCGTTTTAATCAAACAAAATATTATTAAGGATATTCTTATACACTAAGAACTTTTTAACAAGTTAAAATTACTTTTGATCGTACTCGTAAAGAGTACAAAAAATATGTAGTTTATTTGGCATAATTTGGCACATATTTTTTACCGTAAGAGTTTACGAACAACATCGACTTATGCAATAACAGAGACGTTTTTTACTAAAGAAATAAGTTGATTTCCCGGCTAAAGTAAGAGAGAAAAGATTAAAGTATCCTTAAGCTAAGAGTAGGTAAATAGTATCTTATAAGTTAGTAACTGCGTACATAGCGTATGTTTTAAAAATCTTGTAACATATATTTTGTATTCTCATCATTATTTTGCTTCATCTCAATGTACTACTCTGTACAAAATAAATAGTACCATAAATAAAAAGGTAAAACTCTTTTGTGCAAAATCTCAGTTTAAAGACCGAATAATGAAATAGAAACCACATGCCATTAAAACATTAATATCATTGACTTATAATAATATTTTTCAAAATTTCCTAATTCCTATGAGCTTCCAGACAAAGTTTAGAAGTCGTTGAATCTTAGTTATTGGTGAAAAATGCAATACAAAAAGGTCAAGCACATATTATAAAGCGTGTAAAAATGCTACAGCTCAAAAGAATAATTATTGTTATTAAACTTTCGTAAAAGTGGTCGACGATGACGGCTCGGCACACACGAGCCTATATTTACTGAGAAAAAAATACTTGACGCTGTAATAAGTGAACAAGGTACAGATTATTTCAATAAACACCCATAATGTAAGAAAAGGTTCTTGAAATACTATAATATAGAGAAGGCAAACATGGGAAACTCTTATTATTTGTACCAGGGCGAATATTTCACTGGAAATTAACCAACAGAAACAGTTGTATTGGAGTTAATAAAAATTCATGCAACGATTAGGATTTTCTTCAATACATTTATTAGCTTTTCCGCTTACACTATATAATCAAACAGTCCAAAAATATAATTATAGCTCAGTTTCGGCGTAATGTCCTACTTAGGCGTCCTCCGCTGCTAGATGCCGAAGCACCAATGAATTCCCGGTATCGTTTCTCAAGTCATGTGTTTACATTTATGGTAATTTATATTATTTAGATAGAATAAGGTAACCCTAACAGTTGAATGTTCCGTTGGTATGGAGTATGTTGGTATGTTGTGGAGATTTGTTTCATAATTGCCTTTTTGACCAAGATCAGGTCCGTCTTCTAACTGGTTCGACTAAGTTATCAAGTCACTGGTTACACGTTTTAAATATCAAGTAATATCGGAATATTAGGTACTAGATAGATAAGGTTTACGCATAGCGGTGGGAATCCGATGAGCAGCAACCTGGTAACCTCATCAATCACCTCGGCTTTGTGGTAGCGTTATCAAAGAGTTTGGGCTTCACGAACTTTCATGTTATAAAAGTGCTGGTAGATTTTCACGTCATGATTTTCTAAGCATGTTTCTTCGGTTTAAAGTACTTGTGAAATATTTAAAAAGGATGGCATGAGACATGAGACGAGACGGTATGACTTTGGTCCCTTGGGACAGAGGCAAAGCCTTAATGTGTATCAGAAGCGGAAAACTATGTGGTATTATTAGTACAATTAGAGACTGTTTGTCCGTGGGATCTACGTGTAGTGAAGTCCCTGAAAGAACAGTATCTGCGACTTATTGTTCCCGCTGGTGATAAGAGGGCTAGTTCTTTTCTACTTAGCCCTTGAGCTCTTAATCAAGGAAACGCAACCATCGTTCTTAGTGCTATAACATGGAGAGTAGTTTTTTTTTAAATTATTATAATAAACATTAGTTTTACAACATTATTATTATTATTACAATAACATTATATTTTTACAAGCTATTCCCCAAGACTTCGCCCGCGTGTAATTTAGGGTTTAATTTTTGCGCGGAACCATTATTCTTTTTCTTAAATAAAAGTAGCTTAAGTTACTCCCTATAACATCAGCTTCAGACGGAACAAAAAGAGAGACATTTTAAAAATTCTGCTTTTGTTTTAATTACCGTATATACTTTCATATGCATTTAGTGAAAAGCCGTTATTTTTACATTACAAATAGACACTAGAATTTTTTTTATTGTATACATTAAATTGTGTTAAAATAACATTATAGTTTGTAATAATTTCTTGAAATAGTACAAACATATTACTAATTTTTGAGAATAATATAATATAATGTAAAAGGGACTTATTAAGTAGTAAAAATTACATGCTGTAAAAGGTTTTTTTTTTTAAGAAAGGACTTATTTGCAGATTCTAGAATAACGTTAGCAGTCTTAATTCGATCAATTACACAACATACAGCCACAGGTGTGCTTACACACATTATCAAATACACATATGGTTGTTTTGTTTTGTGCACCTTTATGGTACAATACCTACCTTACGGTTGACATGTTTCGTTTGTTTCAGTTTATAAAATACATTTTATAAAGATACTAGCGAGCCGCCCCGGCTACGTTTTTTGTTTTTTGAATCTATAAATGTGACGTTTTAAGAACTGAGATATTCATAGACCATTTATTCTGTCAGCTATTTGTTTTTTATTTAAATGTAAGTTTTTGAGCTACAGGGAAACCAGTTATTATTTATTATTACGGACACACGATTCAACTGCATTAACATTTATTTAACAAAATTATTCCAGTTTTCGTGGTATAGGAATTCTTTATTTGTATTGCTTACATAAAAGTTTAAATTAATGCTATTAATAATCAGTGTTGAATAAAAATTATTCTATTCTGTTGCATTTCGTTTTACTTTTTCTCATTGTTCGATATTTGTATACTTTCTTAAAAGACCTTGTGCGATATATAGTTCTCTCTAAGCTTTATACAGGTTTGTGCTAAACATAGCTTCTACAGCTTATTTACGACAAAAGCTGATTTATTTTTATTATGAATACACGAGTTTCATTTAAACATAAATTAGAACTAATCAATACACGAAACTCGAAAAGCCAAAGAGCCGGCTATTTGTACTCCAAACAATACCTTCTCGCTTATTTCGGAACGTGAAAGCTTGCAAGTCGACTTGAATTCTTGAATGAATACAGTACAGTCATTATCTAGTCGCGCGCATCTTCGCACGCGGCTCGTGCGCACCAACTATTTAATACTTAGTTAAAAAATTGTTCAGCGAATTAAAATGAATTTAATAAGAAGTTTTTTTAATAATAAATTTAACTAATTTTGGAATGTGTGATTCACGTGTAGTGTAATTATAGTGATTTTTTGTGTTTATATGTTGATAATCCAAACATCAAAATGAATATAATTTTGTAAGTATAAAATATCATTAAATATAATAAATAAATACAAAAATTAAAACATTTAAATATTTTTTTTCATTAAATATATCATTATTTTAATATTTTTATCAATTGAAAATTCTTTAGGAATGAAGTTCACTATTCTTTCTACATTCAAATTAGTTCCTTGATTACATTCTAAAGAATTAAATAGACATTGAAAATATGCACCGTATGTTATAAATATTATTCAACTTATGAAGATTGATATAATTTCGGGGAAGGATTGAGTCTTGTTGATACCATCGTTGTTCTTGGAATCACTCTAGACGCGAAGCTTCAATGGGGCCTCCATAAATCTAAACAAGCAAGCACATTTAATTCTGCAGCGTATGCTGTCAAAAAAGTTCGCAAGTCTCAGTATCATTGAAACAGCTAGACTACAGTTATTAGTATTGACGTAATGTCATATGGTATTTTCCTATGGGGGTACGGGGAAACGCGACTGTCCCTGAAACTATATTCGGTTTGTAGAAGAGCAGTTCACGTCGAAGTCATAATATTTTAATTCAAAATCAGATATAATAAAACATTTTTTAAAAATCACAAGCTACATCATCACTTTGAAAAGTCTCTATTGCGGGGAGACCTTGTGAAAAGAATTCGTAAGAAACGAACAAATAGACTACTTTTATCCCACAGTTATTTTACCCTAAAATATAATATGCTTATTTAATTATATAGAATAAGAGTGATACACGAACACATGGTCCACCTGATGATTAGTTGATGCTGTGACCCATAAACATCTACATTTATCCTGGTTTAAAAACCAAAATGTGGATGCATTGTCACCTTTGTGGACTAAGATGGAATGCCTCGTTTCCAGTAAAAAGGGTCTTCGGTTCTGTAGACTCATCATACGAAACACATCAGCATTCTGTGGGAGCGCGATCCTACCCCGGTCGAGTCTAACAAACTCACATCACATCACATCGTCGTTTTCTATTCCATTATCTTATCTTTTAAATAATGATATAATTTATATTTTGAGAGTTTCCTTCATGAGAATACTTCGTGCGCTTAGTTTTTTTAACCAGTTATGAAATATACTGTACGAAAATAGTTAAAAATAATATTATTCAAAATAAAATGTGATGTATCAGTTTTAAGAATGTCTCTGTCTGTTTTCATGAGCACTATGTAATATGTTTCAAATCCTGAAGAATTTCTTAGATAGATGTTTATGCTAATTAATATATTCAAATACTATCGCTATTGCTAGTGATAGTACATAGGTATATGCACACTATATACACTATCAAAAATTTCATGACTGTACACAAAAATAAAATTTCTGTATACCTACTTTAAATCTACTATTACAGCAAAAACAAGTTAGTAATACCAGTTACTCTACTGAATCAGAAATTCATTTAAGCAATGACAAAAAATTTAATTACAAAATTTGACCAAAGCCAAGTTCAAAAAAATAAATTAAGATTTTATAAAAAGGTCAAAATAGTATTAAGGAATTCATGTATGAAAATTTACTTGAGAATCAGGTGAACGCTATTTACCCTGCTTTTTAAATTTTGATTTGCATTTGTAAGCCGTGGACCACTCGCAAAGTTTTACAAACGAAACCAGTTTCATTGTTAAAGAATTTATGACTATTAATATTTTTTATTATAAGTTTATTATTTATTATATTTTGAAAGAACTTTCCAGCGGCATCTGTATTTTCAAATGTCTAAACAAATTTCAAAAACAATTTTTTCACTCCGTGAGTATCATCAAACGATTTCCGTGCGGTTATTTGAAATCAGAATCATCGTGCTAAATAAATGTTCCCGACGCAGGTTCATTTTTCAATAAAACACCTATTTAGTTCTTAATAATGATGGAGGGAAGTTTAAAATTGAAATATTCATATTTTTTACCTATAAATACTTGAATTTAAAAAAATGTAGCTGGCCAGTATCAAATCCCTTTATAGCGAAACGTAACTCAAATAATAAATATTTAAATTATGCCGTCCCCACCAAATAAACTCGCGGATTTATATGAATTAACTTATAAATTATTAATATATGAAGACGTTTTAAGAAATACTACCTATAGTAAAACAAAATCGATGTATTTCGAACATCTATAATCAACTTATTTTTTTCTTTCAATTCATAACTGCATTTTTATCAGGTTGATCACAAACCGTAATAATGTTGTGATTGAAGTCAGGGGTTATTTGCCTAAGAGAACTGTTGAAAGTTCAAAAAGATAATCTAATATATTTAAAGATAAATATATAGATAATAATGCGTCAGCTCGACCGGTGAAGAACCACGCTTGCACGAATACCAAGGTCACATAGCAGCATAATGCTGCTGTGTTTCATAAGGTGTCGAAAATCAGGTACCCTTTTTATTAGTAGCTAGGCATTCCATTTTAATCCTAAGACGTAATTACGTATCTGTGATTTGATTCCTAATCAAGGTTAAATGTAGGTGTTTATGGGTGACAGCATTCACTTACAATCAAGTAGACTGCACAGAAAACACAATACTATTATTATGCATTCAATTTGTATTTTATACATTAATGAAAACAGTTGAGTGTATCTATTGCAAACTTATATATATTTTATGTAATACCTCCTTGCATTTTGGTGGTAAGAGTGGGTGTCGTATTATAGCAGGTCAACTATGGTTAATGCCAAAAAAATCTTTGGGCTTCCGATAAATGCCGGTATAACCAACATGTTTCCCAAGATGTAGAGGTGCAATACGTCTGGTCCTGTGAAAATCAACCCATCTGCCGAGAGTGACAAGGCAAAGCATCGCTACAACGGGAGTATGGGGTACAAGTGATAGGTTTTTTTATAGGATAGGATGAGAAACAAGAACACAATCCACCTGATGGTAAATGGTTGCTGTGGCCCATGGACACATCTACATCTATCGTCGATTACGAATCAAAATGCAAATGCGTTGTCGTCCGTGAGGACTTAGATGGAATGCTTCGTTTCCCGTAAAAAGGGTCTCCGGGTCTCTCTACACTCACCATACGAAATACAGCAGCATTAAGCCACTATTTCACGCTGGTATTCTGTGAGAGCATGGTCCTTCCCCGGTCGAGCCGACCCATTCGTGCTACAACTATACTACTAATATAACTGTAGCATTGCTCTACCACATATAAAAATATTTGTTCTGTATGGGAAAAAATATAATCTATTCCGTGAGAGTGCGGTTTTTAGTACATTATAAAAATAATATTTAACAAACACCAGCGTTATGTATGATCTTTATTTTGTTTTATTAATTATTTGAAAAAAATAAAACAGGTTGGTTGCGATCACCGCATTCCGAATCCAATTAGATGCATGGCTTAGCTAATGTCCTTCAACATATCACAGTGTTTATATTTCTTATTATCTACAAAAAAGTTTTAACCCTTTACGAAAACGAGGGGGTTATAAGATTGACCGCTATGTGTGTCTGTCTGTGTGTTTGTCTATGGCCACCGTGGCTCTTAAATTGGGTGAACCGATTTGGGTGTGGTTTTATTTTTATGCAAAAGCAGATATTTTAGCGGTGGTTCTTGCTGTTTCTTTGAGGTGAGCATGATGTATCAAAATTGGTTCAGCCGTTTGAAGATCATAAGCTTTTTTGTTTCGGAAGTTCTTAAAGTTTACAATTTAAATTATTTTAAATTATACTTAATCATACACATATTTATCTATTAAATAACAAATATAAAGATTTAATAATACCTTTAAATTTATGTTTTTTAAAATGTTTACTATCACATTATCTCACTACGCTCAAGGGTGACTGGAAGGCATTAAGTCGGCCCTTTGTAAAACTTTTTATAAAGATAGCACAATTAATTGACGGCTTCGTAGCACAGTGGACCCACGGACCAAGTATATGTAATGTTATAAAAGTAATTGTTCCGGGTCGGAATATAAACTGCTTCAACGACACTGGAGTAAATACTAGTGGGGTAACGTGTTTTAAAGAAAATGATAATAAATTAATAAATAAAATAAACAGTGACTGTAAATAATATTCAAATTATAATCAAAGAAGTTTTTAGTATCTACAAGTTAATTATAAGCAGTAAATAATAAACATCAAACCTCTTCATTTTAACGGTTACATGACCTTTTTTGCTATTAACATTGTACTTTCGATGGCATATTAAAAACGGGCAAAAGGGCTACTAAATATGTTAAGTAAGAAGGTAAATTATTATTATATATACCTAAGTTAATATAATTATTATATTAACTTAGGTAAAATATGTATGCACGATTATAAAAACTCTAAACTTTCATAGTATAAAATATTATGTTGCTGCTTATAAATGCAAAGTTAAATAACTTAAGTAAGCTTAACAAAGCTTAAATCAAACTTATCGACTTAGCAAGATTACTTAGCTTGGCTTGCTTTATTACTCTTGCACTCTACTCGGTATGTTGTTTGCTTTGGTATCGATAATCTGTGCATATTTCATTGGTACTAGTAATAAGTAATAATTTGTGCTTACGGTGTTATATCTTATCTTTTGGTTGGGCAAGTAAAAAAAAACAAAAAAAAACTTTGCGTTCTCCATTTTCGTGATTCTCTTAGAAAAATAAAAGTAAAAACATATTTAAAGGTGATCTACTTGCAATACGATACCAAGGTAATCTCTTCCCGTAATCCGTAAAGATACGCAGAAGATATACTGGCCATAAAAAAGTTTTACATGACATGCTGATTCAAATATAAACATAAATTATGTATATGTGCCATGTCAAGATTATAGATTTATTTTTATCGTTTTTGAATAAGTAATAATATTACTCGCTCTTTTTATCTTAGCCTCAATTAAACTTTGTTGAAGTCTCAATCGAAATTAAATTGTAGCTAAAGCATTATATTTTGTTAAACTCCATGAGTTCATGAGTCAGTCGTTCAAAAGTACAAACATAAGGTAAATTTATGTGTTGTTCTTACTACGTTATCTGACGTCTTGTAACA